TAGTGTCTGGGACTTAGGGGGGTTCCCCCCCCTTCTAGCCCCCGAGGGAGGCTCGGTTCTGCAGAGGCAGAGCCAAGTCTCGTTCGAGCCCCTGCGGTGGGCACCTCTGCAGACGTAGAGCCGAGTCTCCCTTATAACATTACCGCAACGTCGATCCCCGTCGATGGGGGGGGGTTCTCGAAAAGTTAGAACAACTAAAGAACGCTTCTTTAATATATTTCGAGAAACAATGTATACAATGCTTGGAAGTTCAAGGGTAGAAACGACATAGCTGTTCTATGTTCCAAGCGTTGGTGAAGATTTCGCCCTTCTCGTTGGCTAGCTTGTAGGTCCCGGGCTTTAGCACTTGGGCGACGATGTATGGCCCTTCCCATGGTGGGGTCAACTTGTGGCGGCCCTTGTTGCTCTGCCTTAGTCTCAGCACCAGGTCGCCCACCTTCAGATCTCGGCTTCGAATGCGCCGGGCTTGATAGCGTCGTAGGGCTTGTTGGTACTTGGCCGAATGTAGCAGCACAACGTCTCGGGCTTCCTCCAGTTGGTCGAGGGCGTCCTCGCTGGTAGTGCGGTTGCTTTGCTCGTTGTAGGCCTGTAGCCTTGGGGAACCATACTCCAAGTCAATGGGGAGGATGGCCTCGGCTCCATAGACCAGGAAGAACGGCGTGAACCCTGTGGCTCGGCTCGGGGTGTTCCTCAGGCTCCAGATGACCGACGGGAGTTCGGCTAGCCATTTCTTGATGAATTTCTTCAATCGGTTGTATATCCTTGGCTTGAGGCCCTGTAGAATCATGCCATTGGCACGTTCTACTTGGCCGTTCGTCCTAGGGTGTCCTACGGCCGACCAGACCACACGGATGTGGTGGTCGTCGCAGAACATCAGGAATTTGTGACCGGTGAATTGTGTCCCATTGTCGGTGATGATGGTGTTTGGAACCCCGAACCTGTGGATGATATCAGTGAAGAACAATACCGCTTGCTCAGATTTGATTTGAGTGATCGGACGAGCCTCGATCCACTTGGAGAATTTGTCAATAGCTACCAACAAGTGGGTGTAGCCCCCGAGGGCTTTCTGTAGAGGCCCAACCATGTCCAGTCCCCACACGGCGAACGGCCACGTGATGGGGATGGTTTGGAGGGCTTGGGCTGGGAGGTGCGTCTGCCATGCATAGTACTGACATCCCTCATAGGAGCGTACCAGCTTGGTGGCGTCGGCAACCACCGTTGGCCAGTAGAACCCTTGGCGGAAGGCGTTTCCGACGAGCGTCCGAGGCGCAGCATGGTGCCCATAGGCTCCCGCGTTCAAGTCCCAAAGTAGGGCTTGGCCTTCCTTGGTGGCGATGCATCGTTGGAGGACGCCAGATGGGCTTCGTCTGTACAACTCGCCGTTGCTGACGACGTAAGTTTTGGATCGTCGCGCAAGCCATTGGGCCTCGGTCCTGTCCGTAGGAAGCAATCCTCGAATGAGGCGATCAAGGAGTGGGACCTGCCAGTTCGCCCCCTGGTCGGCCTCGGGAGGCCCTGCATCGATTTCCATGGCTTCGGGCTCAGCCGTCGGGGTCTCGGCAACAGAGGGGGCCTTGGGCCCTGTGGTAGGCTCGACCAGTGGGCCCTCTTCTACCGCCGAGGCGTAGTTCACCCAGGGCTTGTGCAGGTCTCTGGCGAATATGTTCGGGGGGACCAGGGCCCGTGCCGATGCCATCTTTGCTAGTTTGTCCGCGGCCTCGTTGAACTTCCACGCAATGTGGTTGAGTTCGAGACCGTCGAACTTATCTTCTAGGCGACGTACCAACTTGCAGTACGCCTCCATTTTGGGGTCGTGACAATTTGACTCCTTCATGACTTGGTCGATGACGAGCTACGAATCGCCCCGCACGTCGAGACGCCGCACTCCAAGCTTGATGGTGATCTGCAAGCCATTGACGAGAGCTTCGTACTGGGCTACGTTGTTGGAGGCGGCGAAGTGGAGCCGAATCATGTAGCGCACATGCACTCTGAGGGGAGAGATGAAGAGCAGGCCCGCACTTGCCCTGGTCTTCATCAGAGACCCGTCAAAGTACATGGTCTAGCATTCCGCTTGGATTTGAGCAGGTGGCAGCTGGGTGTCGGTCCACTCAGCCACAAAATCGACCAAGACCTAGGATTTAATTGCTTTCCGAGGCGCAAAAGACAGGGCCTCCCCCATGAGTTCAACGGCCCACTTGGCTATTCTACCCAAGGCCTCCCGGTTCTGGATTACCTCCCCCAGAGGGAAAGACGACACCACAGTCACCGGGTGGGATTTGAAGTAGTGACGCAGCTTGCGTCGAGCCAAGACTATGGCGTAGATCAGCTTCTAGATGTGGGGGTAGCATGTCTTAGTCTCGGAGAGTACCTCGCTGATGAAGTAAACAAGTCGTTGGATGGGTAGAGCGTGCCCCTCTTCCTGCCTTTCGACTACTACGGCTGCGCTGACCACTTGGGTCGTTGCGGTGACGTAGAGTAAGAGGGTCTCGCCCTTGGTTGGTGGTACCAGGACGGGAGGGTTGGTGAGTAGTGCTTTGAGCTTGGTAAGGGCTTCTTCGGCCTCGGGGTTCCAAGAAAAGCGTTCGGATTTTCTCAAGAGGCGGTATAGAGGTAAACCTTTTTCGCCAAGGCGCGAGATAAAGCGGCTCAGGGCCGCAAGGCATCCCATGACTCTCTATACTCCCTTGAGGTCTCAGATTGGCCCCATGTTGGTCACGGCCGAGACCTTCTCCGGGTTGGCCTCGATGCCGCGTTCTGAGACTATGAACCCCAAGAGCATGCCTTGTGGGACCCCGAAGACACACTTCTCGGGATTAAGCTTGATGCCCTTCTCCCTGAGGCATTTGAAAGCGATCTCCAGGTCACCGATGAGATCACTGGCCTTTCTGGACTTGACCATGATGTCGTCCACGTAAGCCTCGATAGTTTGCCCGATGTGCTCGCCGAAGACCTGGGTCATGCACCACTGGTATGTGGCCCCTGCGTTTCTGAGACCGAATGGCATGGTCACGTAGCAGTACATGCCGAATGGGGTGATGAAAGAAGTCACGAGCTGGTTGGACTCTTTCATCTTGATTTGATGGTAACCGGAATACGCATCAAGGAAAGATAGGGTCTCGCATCCTGCAGTGGAGTCAACGATTTGGTCTATTCGAGGTAATGGGAATGGAACCTTTGGACATGCTTTATTTAAACCAGTGTAGTCCACACACATCCTCCACTTTCCATTTTTCTTCTTAACTAATACAAGATTAGCTAACCACTCTGGATGGGATACTTCTTTGATGAATCCGGCCACCAATGGCCCTGCGCTTCTCCTCGTCAAATCGGCGCAGGCGCTGCTTCACCGGTCTGGAGCCGGCCCTGATGTCCAAGGCGTGCTCGGCGACCTCCGTCGGTATGCTCGACATGTCCGAGGGACTCCATGCGAACATATCGGCATTCGCGCGGAGAAAGTCGACGAGCACGGCTTCCTATTTGTTGTCGAGGGTGGCGCTGACCTTCAACGTTCGGCCGTTGGAGCAGTTGGGGTCGACCGGGACGAGCTTGATGGTCTCTGCGGGCTCGAAAGTCCCGGCGCGACGCTTGGAGTCGGGCACTTCACTACCGAGTTGGTCGAGGTTGACAATGAGGGCCTCGGCCTCCACGATAGCCTCGGTGTACTCGATGCATTTGACATCACAGTCATATGCATGCTCGTACGTGGACTCGACGGTGATGACGCCGTTGGGGCCCAGCATCTTGAGCTTGAGGTAGGTGTAGTTCGGGACCGCCATGAACTTGGCGTAGTACGGGCGCCCCAGGATAGCGTGGTAGGTCCCCTTGAATCCAACCACCTCGAAGGTGAGGATCTCCTTGCGGTAGTTGGAGGGAGTGCCAAAGCAGACCGGCAAGTCGATGCGCCCGAGGGGTCGCATGCGCTTCCCCAGCACGACCGGCAAGTCGATGCGCCTGTTGGGATTTGGCCAATCCAAAACTAACAACAAAAGTATTTAAAAATATAGCTTTAGAAATGTAGTAATGTCATGTGTACCCAGTTGTTTGCACAAGCTCTTCGACTCACGCTACCATAGTACTGACGTGGAGATGACTCTAGTGGATTATCGAGTTGTTGAGTTGCATCGTCAGCTCGAGAATATTGGAGTCATCAATCATCATTATGAAGGAAATGCATACTAAATAACACACGGGATGCAGGTGGCGCACTTAACAAATTTATTAGCAGAGAAGGTCACTGGCCGACATCAACATATATTAAACTAGGAAGCACCCACAACAGCAACTAGGTAACTACTGATTCCATTTCATAAAAGCCATCACTGAGAGGTTCAATTTAGTTTTTTCACAATCGACAAGCTTTGTGGGTTTGCAGCTTGTACAGAAATAGTAGAGTTATCATTACAAAAAGGAAGTATGCAGTAGAGAAAAACATCAGATGGAAGTGATGCATATAGATAACAAAAGTATACTGTTTTTGGTTCACAGGACCTGAGATACAAGGAAGTGGATGTTTTCAAATCACATTACAATAGTGTGCATTCAATTAATCTAAACCTCGCAAATTGTAATATGAAAGAACCAAGATCGATGCTCTCATCTGTCCTCAACATGCAAGCGGTGTACTATTCATTTAGCATGCCGATGCGTTGAAATTGCAAAGTTCACGTGCTCCTACATGGTTAGTCCCGTTGGTCGAAGGGAGTTCTTTTAACTTTTAAGTGACCTAGCCATTTGTGCAAACAAACCATACTTCTATATCATATTGTTCTGGTCGACGCAAACCAATCAAGCAGGGCTGCTTGGCTCATAGCAACTCAATAGAAAGTCAGCACTTGCATCTTTTTTTTTTTTGATGAAACTCAGCGCTTGCATATTGGTTCCATCTTCCTCCAAAGCAGCTGCTCAGGTCCACATCCCACTCCCTTCACCACCCACCAGCAGCTGTACTGCTTCCTTGCATCCTGCGCTGCCTGTGTTCTGATCGAGCTCCGGACGTTCCGATGGCGGAGGTACTGCCCACCATGGTGGTCGGGCCACTGGTGTCCATGGTGAAGGAGAAGGCCTCCAGCTACCTCCTGGACCAGTACAAGGTGATGGAGGGCATGGAGGAGCAGCACAAGCTCCTCAAGCGCAAGCTGCTTGCCGTCCTAGACGTCATCACTGGTGCCGAGGAGCAGGCAGCGAACAACAGAGAGGGGCAAAAGCTTGGCCGCTTGAGGAGCTCCGCCAGGTGGCCGACAAGGCTAATGATGTCCTTGATGAGTTCAAGTATGAGGCACTCCGCCGCAAGGCCAAGGCAGAGGGGCACTACAAGGAGTTTGGTATGGATGTCATAAAGCTCTTCCCTTCTCACAACCGTTTTGTGTTCCGTTATAGGATGGCAAACAAGCTCCGCATACTTTTGCAAGAAATTGATGTCCTTATTGCAGAGATGAATACCTTTAGATTCAAATTCAAACCACAGCTGCCAATGATCCCTAGTGGTTTTTCGTATAGCGCTTATAAGAAGTACGTGCAAGATCCCGACTGCTATGATCGGAGATCTGAGAAGAAGAAGATCAAGTATGGCACGAAACTAAAACTCGGGCATGATTTTCCGATAAGTACCAATACTACTACTACTGCTCTTCTCCTAATACTACACCTACTACTCTACTCTACTCTACTGTAGTACTACTACTACTACTACTTCTACTAGTACTACTACTACTCTACTCTACTCTACTCTACTCTACTCACTACTACTAGTTCTACTACTACTACTGATTGTTTATTATATATGCTCTAATGATTGTGTATTGTACACCATGCAGTGCGCTAAACAACCATATGGCTCAGTTCTACGTGGATTCTACGTTTGTAAGTACCTGAGGACGTGCAGCTGATTTAGCAGTAGCTGGCGACAGCTCAAGAAAGCACAAGGATGCTGGCGAAGGAAGAAGGTCGACCAAGAATTTAAACAAACAGTAGCAGACATATGTAAGTTTGTCATAGAGAGCGCGCATGAAGAGAATACGTTCTTCAACTAGGAAAGCGAGTTAGTGCGGGATACGAAGTTCGATAGGATCAGGAACTGGAGCACCAAGTTACGAATCTCGGATTATATTCTGCCGGACCTCTTTTCCGCTAAAAAATGATATGTATGAATGAACTTAGTTGCTGATGTATGAAAGATCTGTGTTTGTGATGAAACAATGATGAAAACTTCACTAATATAATAATTTAATGTCGTTCGTGGAACGAGAATGAATGTAATATATGTTTGTCATATATTTTTTGCTTTATCTGTGTTTTCATTAGTGAAATTTTAAATTCTAATTTAAAAAAGCATTTTTTTTTAAATCTGAAAATCATTAACCGAGGCGGGCAATTAATAAAAACCGCCTCGGTTAAAATCTTAACGGAGGCGGCCGTCTTTACCGAACCGCCTCGGTTAATATGTATTAACTGAGGCGGTTGGTTTATAATGCCCGCCTCGGTTAATCTATTAACCGAGACGGTTGGCCAACCGCCTCGGTTAAGGCCATAATTAACCGTGACCTTTGCACCGAGGTGGTTGGCTTGCCCGCCTCGGTTAAACCAAAATATCCGCCTCGGTTAAGATTCCTGTAGTAGTGAAAGCAGAGAGCACTGTGATAAACTGTTTGAAATGTAACAAGATCTTTCTATACACTAAGGAAAACAATGATTTCCTTCCATTTTGTTGAACTACCAGCATAATAGGACGCATATCAACACACTAAACTTAAATTAGTAATATTTTCAGAATCACAACAAAGGGGTATTTAAATTTGCTTCATATGTAAGTCCTCAAGATGAATAGCATGAAGCAACAGAATATACATAAAAGGTTTTCATAACACACCAAGTGCAGGATTCTGAGCATAGCCCAATCACTATGTAGTGCTGAAATTAATCGATCTCCCACTATTCTGTATATCCCAAAATACCATAACAAACAACTACATAAGCAACCTGCAGTGCCAAAATTAACCCCATATGTCCTATGTGCGATGTATCAGAGGTTTAACATCTGCACTCTGTTACTAGACCGATAGCACAATGGCAGGCTCGACTTTTTTTCTCTGACAGGTTATAATCATGAGTTTAGTGATGACCATGTCCTAACTAACAGCAGATCACTACTGGTACTCGCGAGACCAGCAAGGATCACTCCAGGTGGTATTTGATCGAGGAGCAGCTACAACTGAAACGCTCAGCACTCCAGGTGGTATTTGAAACACTCTAGAAGGGTGTTCTAGTGCCCTTCTTGCCTTCAGCACCTACATTTGTGTTTCTGAACTGAAGTGTAAAACGATACTGAATAGTGCTTATTAGAAACTGAATTCCATGATGGATCGGGGATGACCCTTAAAAACCAACTAACAGCGGATCACAGCAACTAACAGGAGGCCATGCATGAGAGTCCATTGCCTCATACACGTGACATGCATGGGTTCTCCATTTGCTCCGATTCGGCTCCATATCCATCCAACCAAAGACAGACAAACAATGCATCGAGAGTTTGGGAAATGGAGGGAGTACGGACCTGAGATCGGCGGGATCCTGCAGTGCGGGTTCGTATGTCGATGGGGCCGGCGCCCGACGTGCTCCTCGGCTGCTGCGGCGGCGACCGGCCATGGGCTCCGTCGGGTGGTCGCGCGAGCCGGCGGCGAGAAGACAGACAGAGAGGAGCGGAAAACTGAAGTCTGAAGCGATGGCGTGTTGATCTCGTCGAGGAGAGAGAGGCCCTTAAAGCCCAGCAATGGCCTCGGCCCAGTTGACCCGCTAGGCCTGTTGGGTCCATGGGTAGGTTCAAATGCTCAGTTTTTTTTTTTTTTTTGAAACTCTGATCGATTCATTACTCAGATGACAAATCGTCAGAAACAATTACAGATACATCATCAGGGATGGAACTAGTAATTAGCGCCTCGCCTTCGATGCAACCATAACCTAAACTCGCCAAAACATTAGCAGCCCTATTGCCAACTCTACCCAAAAACTTACAAGTAAAATTACTAAAATTCGACCTGGACAGAGACTTAAGCTCCTCGATCAAACCCCCGTCCGGTCTCACATCAAAGAATTGGGACTGCAAAGCATGCTGAACATTGAGCGCATCCGTTTCAAGAATGAGATTGCCGATTCCCAAATTGCTCGCCACTTGCACACCTTGCAGGCAGGCAATCAACTCCGCATGGAAAGCACTTAACACATTGTTAATTATCCCTCGGCCCGTCATCACCACCTCACCATCATGATCGCGGATCAGAAATCCCCAACTACCAGTCATGGTCTCCTGAATGAAAGAAGCATCACAGTTTAATTTGAGAAAGCCTTCAGGTGGCTTGGCCCATCTCACCCTTGGCTCCGATCCCAGTAGCCTAGGTGCTGCTTGTTGTATCTGGGATATTTCATTAGCATACATTCTGGTTGAACGTGCCAGTTCGTCATCTCTCTTTCCGCGCCCTTCTTCCCGGACAGCATTCCGATTTGTCTACAGAGACCACAAAGTAATTACCATCAGGATCGCAGATTTCTCCCTCTCCGCCAGGATGATTGAGGTCACATCCATGGCCGATGCCTGTTCTGCTAACTTCTGCCGTATGTTCTCCAGTGCCAACAAATTCCATACCTGCTTAGCAAGCTTGCACTTGAAGAAAAGATGGCCTCCATCCTCATTGTTTCTACCACAGACCGGGCAGCTTGTATCAATTTCCATGCCACGCTGTGCTAGTTTGCAGCATAGCGGGTGGCTTTCATGTGTCATGCGCCACAAAAAATGCTTCACTTTATTAGGACAATTGAGAGCCCAGATTTTCTTCCAGATCGGCTCCACTTCTTGTCTGGTGCTACCCTGAGCTGCTTTGCAATTCCGACTACTCACAAAATCATCTCTGCATACTTTGTACGCACTCCGCACACTGAATTTTCCATGTTTATCAAAGTGCCATGCCAAAATATTATCCCGGCCTTCAAAAACAGGGATTGCCAATATGACTTTCTGATCCTCTTCCCAAAACATCCCCTTGATCATCTCTACATCCCAGTCTCCTGTTACTGGATTAATTAGCTCATCCACATCAGTCAACAAATTAGTTCCACTTGGAGTAATTGGTCGCCTAGATTGATCCCTCTGAAGCCAGAGGTCTGTCGAAATTCTTATCCCTCTGCCATCACCAACTCTCCAAATTATACCTTTCTTCATCAGTTGAATACCTCTCAGTATGCTCCTCCACGACTAGGACATTGTGGCTATTGGTACAGCGTCCAATACAGTCACATTGTTATAATACTTAGCTCGCAAAATACGTGCACACAGAGACGTACTCTGGTCTCTCCCATAGCCGCCAGGCCTGCTTAGCCAGCATCGCTAAGTTGAAACAATGGATGTCTCGGAAGCCTAGCCCGCCCTCTTTCTTCGGTCGCATCAGGGTGTCACGGTGCAGCCAGTGAAACAATGGATGTCTGGGTGCATTGTGACATACTTTCACTCCTGCAATCCGCCCCTCCTGTTCCGCTTGCTGCAGTAGAGCTGAAAATCCCTCTACGCAGATAAGGAAAAGATATGGTGACAATGGATCTCCTTGACGGAGACCTCTCTCAGGTTTGAAGCCATCCGATAACTCACCATTCACCTTTATACGGTATGCTACTGTGGTCACACATTCCATTATAAGATTAACCCATTGCTCACAAAAGCCCATTTTTATCATCATATCTCCGAGAAAATGCCACTTGACCCTATCATATGCTTTACTCATATCAAGTTTGAGAAGCCGCATAACCAACATCTCCTTCTCTTTTGTTCATCAGAAAGTGGGTAATCTCATATGCTATAAGAATATTATCTGAGATCAAACGACCCGGTACAAAAGCACTTTGGTTCGGGGTGATTATCTCAGGTAAAATCTCTCGAAGGCGACTAGACAAAACCTTGGATATTACTTTGTAAATCACATTGCATAAACTTATAGGCCGCAGCTCAGTTACCTTCTCCGGCTTTTCAACCTTTGGAATCAAAGCAATGGTTGTCTCATTCCAGCCCTCTGGTATTTGTCCACCATTTAGCACGTTCATCACTTCGTTTGTCAATTTCCCGCCAACAACATCCCAAAAATTCTTGAAGAAAACCACAGGCAGCCCATCAGGACCAGGTTCCTTGAGGTCTCCAATGGACTCCAGCGCTGACTTGATCTCAGCCTCAGTGAACTCAGCAGTAAGTTTGGAATTCATTGCAGCCGTAACCCGGGTTTAGACGGCACCAAGGATTTGCTGGTATTGTGCCTCAGTGCCGACCCCCCAGACCTGAAAAGCTGCACAAAGTGATTAGTAA